GGCAGTAGTAGCAGTCGTAGTACCAATTATAGTAACTAGCAGTAGTAGTAGTAGTAGTAGTAGTAGTAGTAGCAGTAGTAGTAGCAGTAGCAGCAGCAGTAGTAGTAGTAGTAGTAGTAGTCGTAGCAGTAGTAGGAGTAGTAGGAGTAGCTGTAGCAGTAACAATAGCAGTAGTAGGAGTAGTAGTAGTAGTAGTAGTAGTAGTAGTCGTAGTCGTAGTGGCGGTGTAGTGGTAGTGGTAGCGGTAGTAGTGGTTGTAGTTGTTGCATGTGTAGGTTGTTGTTATTGTTGCCGCTGGAGATAAGCATCATTTGCCAGGTAACATCTCGAATTGACTGGATGCGAACCCAAGGTGCCGCAGAGGATAGTGGATGCGGAGTACGCGGTGAGAGGAGAGATCGTGCCTGATCCTTACTGAGACGTGTATATAGAAGAGAGACCTTGACATGAGTTCATGTGGAAACGGGCATCTAAGGACGCGGTCATTCAAACTAGAAGAGCTCCTGGAACAAGGCAATCACTCCCTGCCCTTCGATGAGCTCGTGCCATGCAACATCGGAAACCCGCAGGCCGCGGACACTTGCAACCTTGAGGTGTCCTGGCTATGTGGCTCTGTATGGCTCTGCAGGCTGTTGGTGCGCGACCTCTGACCTTCCATCGCCAGGTGGCGAAATCGACTAGAGAGCAACGGCAATCTCTGGTAGCTACGAGTGTCGAGTGCTCTGGGAGTCTTTTCGTGTTGGTCAGGTACTTTCTCTGATGAGCAACCCGGCGCTGATCGAGGTCCGATCTTTGTAGTTGTACTAGTGTAGCAGAAACAGCACGGACGTGCCATCTTGAGATACAAAGATCGGGCCAAGAAGGGTGTGCGCGCTAGCCGCACTAGCCCACTTCCGCCCCCGTACATCCTCATGCCAAGACCCGCCCTTGGCGCCAACGGAAGAATCTTCTTTGTGAGAACGGTTTGCTGATAATAGCAGGATGCAGCCTCGCTGTATCCGTCAGATGTGCTGGCAAGAGCCAAGGACGGACTGCACAGTGCATGCTGGAATAACACTTTTCACTCCCACCTCGCGGTTTCTTGGCCAGGAGTATGTTGGTAAGAATCCGAAGTTCGGTGCGTACTCCCACTCCAAAGGCATCCTCCACTTCAGGCTACCACGAAGCAAAGTCGCTGTGCAGCCTTCTTCAGGTTTGCGGCTTCGTCTTCAGATGTGTCCAGTGTGCAGGCGGGAGGTGGCGAAGTACATCAATCGTCGAGATGGGCCATCTGTGCCTCCAGCTGATCCGGAGGCCGTGTTTTGAGCCACATGCTCAGAGTGAGACGCTCAGAGGCAGAAGGTTTCGTCCGGAAGCTTCTGCGCAGGAGATTTATCTCACAGACGGAGCTTCTGCTGGTGTCAAAACGGTGCTGGAGGCATGAGTCAGTATGGAAGGAAGACCCTCTTTTTCAGAAGATAATTTCAAGACGTTTGAGGGACTCCAGCTCAATGCAGTCACTAGCTCCGGGGGGCGGCTCAGGTCATGATCGACGGCCCATTGGACGGTCTCCTGATTCCGATTCCGCAATACCCTCTGTATTCGGCCTGAAGCCAAGTAGTGCCAAGCAGCCGCGCCTTCGCCAATGGGGAGCTACTGGTACGTGGCTAGTCTCTACCTGCCATGGGTGATCCCAGGCGTCCATCACCCGTCTCGGTGGCACGCACATCGGCTATGAGTTGGTGGAGGACCCCTCCCATCGTTCATTTTGCAGAGGAGGCTAAGGCTACCTCGAGCTTGTTGAGCAGGACTACGCCACCGGAAAAGGCCGCTGACATGGGAGGGAAGAGCTGCACCGACGATCTGTGAGGGATTCTGCTTCGCCACTTACTGGGCTGGAATATGTGAGAGTTTTTCTAAGCTTCCAACTCTTGACCGTAGACTAACACAGCACTTTAACATTTTGATGCAGGTTTAGGACCTGCTACAAAACCAGCACGGCGCAAGTGCGCGCAAGGGCGAGCGCAAGGGCGATAACCAGAGTAAGAAGCTACTGGGAATCTGCTTAAAGCCGTGTGCGTCGCAAGGCGATTTTCAGTCATAATAAAGAAAAGCATGCCTGTACAATCCAAGATGTAGCCCTCCCCCCTGAAAGGACCCGAGGACTGCGGACCCAGGTCCGCAAGCATTAGCGAAAACATCGGACCCTCCGTGGCCTTCAGAATTAAGCCAGACTAAAGCCTAAACAAGTTTAATTAAGCTAGAAAGTTGAAAGCCTACGCCTACGCTTTGCATGCTCTAGCTTCCCGTGCTTCAAGCCTTGGCAACTAACATATAATTCGTGCACTTCTTATGTCGTGCGCGTCACTCGCCTTCGCAGCCTGCTTTCGCGCCTTCACACTTCGCTCCTGCGTGCCTGCCCGCTGCCCATCTGTGCGACTCGCGCTTCGTGCCTTCGTGCCTCACGTCTGCTTCGCATCTAGCCATCTCTATCGTGTCGGCCTCCGAGGGTCTGACAGTCTGACAGACCTTAGAAAAATCTTGAAACGATGCTCGGGGAACTCAACTATCTTCGGTTCTGCGGAAATATCGAAAGGCACAGCCTCGCAGCCAGCGTGTAGGGGAGGTTCGGAGCAGGGCTCGAACACCGGGCATTAAGAAGTTTCTTTCGGAGCGTCGTCCACTTGAAGAAGCTGCCACAGATGCTTTCCAATTTTCCTTCGGGCTCATTAATCTTGTGCCAGCGGCAAGCGCTAAGCACACAGGCTGGGCGATTGATGTCGATCTGATCGAGGAGAAGATCAAGGCACCAGCCCTCAGGGAGGATTAGATCCCCTTGTGATGTCCCGGAAAAAATTATCCGTAGAGGCCTTCATTGCTGGTGGTGGCCGCCCGAAAGGTATAGCGGCTGCCCCATTGAGCCCTGGAGGTGGATGGACAGCATCGCTGCTGCAGTGAACTGAGGCTGTCATCAACCCGGGAAATCCCACTGGCAACGTTCTCAGCCGGGAGACCATCGAACGCATCGTGAGGCGCGTTCGCATGCGCAGGGTCTCGCAATGCTAGACTCTAGATGGGGCGTGTTTACCGACTCAAGAAACTGCCAGCAGGCTGTGTGCAAAGTACAGAGCATCTTGGCAGCACTGTCCTGGACTTCCACTTTGCCGCTTGCTAACTGCAAACTGTTTCCACGCAAGATGGTCATCCTTGCGGACGAAGTCTACCAGGCTGACTAGTGTTTGGAGTGGCTTAGACGAGCTGATGATGTATGTAGCCGCCGTATGAAGAGGAAAATATCTGGCACTTGGACAAGGAGTTCGTTTCCTTCAGGCACCTCTCATGCATGCATGAGCATCCCATCCGCGGATGTAAAAGCAACGTGTTTCTTAGGCAGAGCCCTTGTGTTGCCTTGTACTGTCGAGGGCGAGACTCTAAAACCTGAAGCGCCTGCAACAACGTGCCAGGCAAGTCGTGCTCCTGTCCGGCCTGCCGGTGGAGTTGTTTTCGTTGCTCGGCCCGTGGCTGTCACAGTCTAGAGTGTTGAGATATGTCACTTTCAATCGGGACATGACTTCAGATGGGACAGGATGGCCACAAGATGCCTGGTGTAGGAGCGAACTGCAGCTTACAAGAAGTGCGTCGCAGTGAGAAGCGGCATATGTTTTTTGCATTGCATGACGGGCAGCAAGGTTTGCGCAATTTTGCGCACGTGCCCGTCCGGTCTTGGGAGTGCCAATAAACTTATCTTCTGAAGGAGGGTCTCTCCGCCCACGAGGGCAGGGGTTCGTGAACATGGAACACCGGCTTTTTGCAGAAGCCGTGCAGTAGTAGTCGTAGCAGTAGCAGATGGCAGGTAGCGGAAGATGATAGATAGTCGTAAACATGAGTAGATAGTAGTAGCAGATGTTGGAAGTAGAAGTAGAAGAAGGAGCAAAGATGAGGAGGAGGAGGAGGAGTGTAGGAGTGGCAGTAGGAGTAGGAGTTAGGAGTCGGAGAAGGAGTAGGGTTAGTAGGAGGCACTGGTAGTGGTGGTGGTCGTGATAGTGGTGCAGATTGTCGTCGTGGTCTTGCTGTTGGTCGTGGCATAGACAAATTAGAAGAAGACACAGCACGAGCCGACTAGGTATGATGAGTAAGAGCATACCAGGTTCCACTCGATGTCCAAAGGCTACTATGGTGAATGCGGTCTGCGAGGACAGTCCGTTATGATCCTCAAACCATGCCTTGACGCCTGGCCAAAGGTTAACTTCGGGATTAACCTAGTTACGGTCTGGTGCAGGAGGAGTGCTGCAGATGACGAACATTGATCCAGATGTGGCCGACCAAATCTACAAGCTGTTTTCGATGATACTGTGTGCGAACACGCTCGGACAGGTAGGATCCTGGGTTGAAAACAGCCTTCGTCAACCGATTGCATGCATCTGACGAGGGGGCCATGGCTTCTATCCTGAATCCGCCGGTGGAGGGAGATGCGTCCTTCGCCCTTTTCTCCAAGGAGGGTTCACATGTTGACCGGGTGACGAGCCCTTGTTAAAGTACGCGAGCTTTGAAAAAGGAGCGCAGCGAGATCCTGGCTAGCCTCAGCAAGAAGGCACAGCCCTCAGAGAGCGCTTTGAGAGGGCATCATACTCTATGCTACTCGACTAACTGCTGTACGATCCGATACTATGCTGAACTTAACTTTAGTTTAAATACTGTTTAAATATACTATATTATACCATGTATATACTATATACAGTATACGATATAGAACATATATATATATATATGTAAATATACCATATACCATATGCCATATGCTGTATACTATATACTAGGTACTAGATGCTATACATATATATATATATAACATATATATATATATATTATAACCTATTCTTCAGTATTCTATCCTGTGCTATAGAATACCGTACTAACTCAAAAGCTGCGCATCCATCGAATGATTCAAGGCAGAGCTTGTGTCCCAAGCTCTCAACGAGATCCCGGGCATCCAATCACTTCCTGTGGAAGGCGCAATGTACGCCTTCCCCCAGGCCAGGCCATGGTCATGGCATGTTATGGCCAGTATGTGTATGTATGTATGGATGGATGAAGGTATGCATGTATGTATACAAGTTTGAGGGGCTTGGGGTTTGGGTTGTGTCATGACCCGACCTTCGGATGTGAGGTTTACTTGCCCGAGCGCTTCGTCAAAGAATCAGAGGCCTTGGGAAAAGTCGTGGCCTAGGGACACTCGCATGAAGGGTGCGGTGATGAGCTTCTCCCCTTGTTTGTATGATGAGCGACCTGCCAAGGCTGCAGACATGCTTTACTGCATTAAAATGTTGGAAGCTGATGCCTGAGAGAGGAACTCCGAAGCTCCCAGCGCTGTGCCGAGTTGCAGCGTGTTGGTCTGACTGGACCATGACATGAGGCGACAGGCGTCATTGTCGTGCCCGGAAGTGGCTTCGGCCAAAGGCCACAGCTTTTCATCGGACTCTTCGCAGCTCGGCTGCATCTGCTCCACAGGAACGGCACCTGGCACTACCGCATCACAATCCTGCCAGAGGAGGGCAAGCTGAGGCGAGTGCTCGTGAGCTTCTCGGTATGGTAGGGCCTGAGCGCGGGTAGCATGCCTCCGGTCTTGGGGGCACCTGCCTCGATGACTTGAGGATCGGATGAAGACTTTCCACACGCAGTTCTTGAAAGAGCACCCTCCTTTCGGTATTCGGCTGTGGTGATAGTAGTGGATGCACGGTCAAGCCATGTCGAGCTCAACGAGGTATTTGGGCCCCGGAGAACGGGCCATCGAGGACAAGACGCCCACTCCTTGCCTGCCGCTTGGCAGCCTGCATTTGCTGTGGTTTTGAGTGCGGTGAGATAAGGTCAGGCCAAGTATTCAGACCAGATGCAGAAAGAGATCATCGAGGCCGTAGCGAATGAGCATGGACCGCGGGGCTGTCAGCTTGGCAGGCGCATCTGGCAGCTGCGAGTGAGCAGGACGGATGCCTCACCTTTGTGCCTGCGCCTTCCCACTTCTAGGGCTGTCAGGCTGAGCCGCACATGCTGCTAATGCTGGGAGGGTCCGGTGCCGGAAAAGGTGGCTTCCTGAAGGCTCAACAACGGTGGGAATGTTGGAAGGCAGACTGGATCATGGCAGGCCATGGCGAAGCATGGCATGAACACTCGGAACTTCGTCCTGCACGGCTTGGATGAGTGCGCAGCTTGTTCTCCTCGAAACCAGAGCATTAGCCACTTGCGATTGTGAGAGGTACATCGAGTATCTGCCAGAGTTTAAGGCCATGCCAAGAGGTGTCTTCCTCAGCTGTGACTGTGTTGACTGCCCTGGGTGAAGGCATCGAAACAGCACGAACTGGTGGTCTTCAAGGACCCTGTCGAGTTGAATTGAATGGCTCTCAGCTCACGGCATACTTGCGATGCAGGATGCTGCGGATGGTTGCTACTCCGGGGTTATCCCGATTGCCAAAGTATCACGGCAGTAGGGTGTGACGTGCCTTTCTGTCCTGCTGCTGCGCGTTGGCTTCGCTATGGCCTAGGCAGCGCAGAATGAAATCGTCAAGCGCAAGCAGCATGTGATCTATGAGGCCTTTGCAGCCATAGCACAGGCACATGACATGCGGCGTCACTCACTTGTTCGATGCATTGGGTTGGGCGCATGCAGGACACAGGAAAAGATCTGGACCGCATACTGAAGCGCATACTTCCGCTCTTTCAGAAGGCGAGCACACTATTTCACATTGCGAGCTCCGGTCTGACTCCGTGATGCTGCGGTGACCAGGCTGGTTACAAGATTGCCGTCGTCCTTGTTGACAATTTCCCTTCAATCGCAAAGGGGAGATCACATGGCCGGTTCCTGAAGGAAGGTCGATATGCCTCTGACCAATACATTGAGGCAGGGGATTTGGAAGACTTCGCAGAAGACATAAGAACTTGCTACCAAGTTTTTCGCCAGTCCACGTTTAAGAATGTGCCGGAGAACTATGCGAAGCTGAAGGAGCTCGCGGAGGCGAGGCGATGTGCCTTTGGCGAGGGCGATTTTTTGAAGCGGAAACCGTGCCTTGGGTCTCAGGTGACAGAGGCCTACTACTGCGACAACAGCTGCGCGGAGGGCCTTTGCCCAAAGTGTTGGCTCGACAAGGGTACCAGGCCTCCGGCCTCCTGCATGTCGCACCAGAGGTGCGAATCTAGAGCGCGTCACTTCCATGCTGTCCTGCAGGAGCTTGCTTCCTGAAGAAGCCTTGCAGCCGCCAGACTTGCTTAAGTGAACCTGCATACCCGCATTACGATACTACGAAGAATATACCAACATGCATACATGCATGTGCATACATACGTACAGACACGCAGGCGCACATACGTAAGCACGCATATGCTTACATACATTCACGCGTACAACACACAGACGTGCATTACATAAGTACATCAGACGCTGATTCTACGAGGGCAAATCTCGTTCCCTACTGGACCAGATTGAATTTTCGTACTCACTCACTCACTCAGGCGCGCTAGCGTGACTTGTATGTTTAGCTTGACACGACTAGGTGCTGTAATGATTGTACAACGCTTTTGTAGTTATCTACTGTCCTATTGAATTAATTGCGGCTAAGTACGAGTCTTGTTGTTTTGATTACTCTTGTAGCGTTCGTCTTGCACTGCTGCTAGCTGTTAGTCGTCTTGCTTCCAGAACTTCGCGTACTCTTATAGTTCCTCGGTCAATTGACATACCTGAGGAATTCGGGCAAGTATGCGCGCGTACAATGGTCCTGGTTGACCGGGGCCGTGGCTCTCTTTGTACCAGTCCTTTCGGATCCTGAACGACTTGAGTGATCATATGCGGAACGTGATGCTCCAGCCGAGCATGTGTAGAGCTGTAAATGAATGTACGCATGCATGTATGCACATCTTTGTATATGTTATATATATACACACACACACTGTCTGGTCCTGGTTGTCCGTGTATCTCGCCATCTGTGATTGCTTGGAAGCAGCACATGCTTGAAGCCCATGTGGTGTTGGCCTCCGCTTCCTTTGGTTCGCAAAAGCTCTGACTCCCAGGAAAGGCTCGCCGAAGCGACTTCACCCTGCCGCAAGGTAGGGAAAACCCACATCGCAGTCTGGCGATGAGAAAAAGGGAGCCTGGAATACGTGTTTCGAACGTTTGTATACGACTCTTGCAGCATCTTGTCTGGGCAGCTGCACATCGTGCTATCCCTGCCGAAAGCACCGCATCAAGAATGCAGGACCTGGCTGTGCGTTGATTTTGCGCGGCACATCTGAACACTTGCCTTTGCAGTTGGTTCATTTTCTAGCGCCACCAGTTGGGACCCGAAGGGTCCTGGAGAGCTTTAGGCCTTTGTTGAAAACATTCGCTCCTGCATTCAGCAGGTCTCAAACTTTACTACCCTCGGCTCACCAGCGAAGCATGGGACCCACGTGCATCCCGACTTTGCAGTCGGATGTGAAGGTCCTTTGTGACAGCGGTGTGGTCTCTGCTTCTTTGGGTGCAGAACTGCACACCAGAAGGCGGCATTATGTTTCTTGAGGCATTATCTTTCTTGCTGTGCGAAGCAACGGCTGCTCCGAGTGATGCCCTATCCCGCAGTTCAAAAGAGTTGTTCGGCAGCCTTCACATCCTGCCACTCACATGAAAGAATTGGAAGATTGAGTCCTTGAAACCGCTGCAATGACTTTTTCCGTACCTGCCCAACATCATCTGACGAGTTCTCTCTTGCAAGGAGGGGGCTCGTAACATCAGCTTCGCCGCACCGCAGATTGAGACTCGAGCCACGCCATTCCCCCGTACAAAGTCGCGGCTATGGGCAGCAACTGCTGTTGTGGCCGGGAAAAAGTTGACGACAGGCGGGACTTTTGCAAACAACTCTGCGTAGATAGAGGTAATTAGTTGCAGTGCTACCCGTGTCAAAACGCAGAAACAGTAAACAGGCACACAATACTGATGTGAAGTCGAGATGTCTCTGATGTGCAGACAGCCTGATGCCTTGGCCCGGCAGGTGTTCAAGAAAGAATGTCGCTTACGAGCTGATCAACACGGCCTATGAGAAAAGATACGGAAGTCAGAGACCACAGACCCCGACACCCTGGCACAGCCTACCCCCACTCCCCAGCGAGAAGAATGAAATTATCGCTTTTAAGCTTATGATGGCCGTCCCTTTTGAAGACGGACGGGTTCGATGGGTGCCCTTTGACTGAGGGTCGTGAAGGTCCGAGTCTGAGCAGGCCCTGGCAAGGGACGCGGTGTGGCGAGTGGATGCAAACGGAGGGCAACTACACCAGCATTGCTGGGTCTGAACTCGGCCGCTCCGACGTCAGCAAGACCATCAACATGTTGACATCTGACACGAGCCCCGACGAAGTGAAGCAAGCTACTGGGACGAACATCGTGTGGTTGATGCGGTTTCGGGCAGGAAGGAGGCTCCTGCAGTCGCTGCGCGGCCACGGCTCCGATCCTCACTGCCCACAATCCTTGGCAGTGGCCCTGTGACGCAGTTGGTGCGCTTGTCCCGCTCCCAAGCCACGTCGACCCTTCTGCTCGATATGATTCGATCCAAGTTGTGGCAAGAGGAAGCGCCTAACTACACCAGCTGCATCAGCAAAGAGCGAGGCAGCTGACCACGCGGAGGTTTGTTTCAGACTACGCCGCCTTCCAGAGTGTCGAGCCTGCGAGAAGGGCGTCCAGGCAGAGTCCTGACATTGACTCCGGCGGTTCAGCGCGTGCAGCCTGAGCTCACTCCGGTCCAAAAGAGTGCTGCGCCAGAATCTGTGGAGCCTATCACCGGCTGAGGGCGAGAGCCGGGGTCGCATCGGCTAGTGACTACTAGTGACTTGAGACACGTGGGATCATGTGTGCCTGCAGAGAGCCTGCATCGCTGCATTCCGCAGGTTTTCAGCCAGGACTTTTTTCCTCACACGGCCCCCCTCCGGCCCTGCGGTCCGTTCTTTGTCGTGGGACTTCGAGGCAGGGTGCAGCTTTGCTTCCCAACATCGTTTTGGGGGGGGAGAAGCTTGACCAGAAATCGCGAGACAGTGAGGGTGTCCTCGCAATTGCTGTCGCTTTTGTGCCCGCTTCTCCCTCGAAAGGGGGCACCAGGCCCAGGTTTTGTCGGGACCGCGTTCTCATCTCTTGTCGCATGTGCGAAGTGTCAGCATTCATAGGGGTTTTAGGGACCGCCACTTGCTTTTGTGTCCTTGTTTTTGTGTGTGGTGTCCTCGTTCTCTCGTGTGGTGTTGTGTGCTGTGTGTGGCTGTTTCACGTGTTCCTCTCACATTGCTATGACAGGCTGTGGTAAGGATGGAGATTCGTGTTGACACAGCAGAAGGGTGCCTTTCCCAGAAGAGGTGAAGAGCTTGGCAGGGAAAAGCAAGCTGAATCTCTGAGGTATGCCGCCCCGAAAGACACCTTCCTTTCGATGCGGATCGGAGAATTCCAGAAGCAGTCTCGCAAGCTGCTAAGAGTTGCGAATCAATGCACACATCCGCACATGGAAATCCCTGGCCAGCAGGGCCCTACGAAGAAAGCCAGAATCAAAACCATCTCCTCTGCGATGCTTGAAATGAGGATTTGACACCTCCAAGACGTACAAGTTTCCCAAGCTGGAGGATCCCACTGGTCTCGCACGTATCGAGGCGGGGCGGGAAGCGAGAAAGAACCACATCCAGGTACATCAAAATAAGTAGTGGCAATGTTCGTACTGCAATGGCAACAAGAACCACACTTTGCAGTTTTGACAGCGATGTATCCATCGCACAACATGTTGATATACCGCTTTGCTTGACACCTCTTGCTCAATTTCTTATGCCCTAAAGCATTGTAGCCCTACAGCCCCAAAGCCCTAGACCCCTTAATCCTAAGCTCCCAGGCCCAAACCCTAAACCCGCCAAGCTCCAGGTGTTTCAGCGCGTTGGACACCTGACGGTCAGCTTGGGGAAGCTGCAGCAAGGCGAGCAAAGCGTGGAGGCGCCCTTTGGTATATTTGCTTCTGTGTATCTGTACCTATACATGATACAGTGATACATGTATGCGCGTGCGCATGTGTGTATATGTATATATATATATATATATGTATATACATATGAAAATGTGCACAGGAACAGTGTAGGTAGAATATCATCTCACATCTGATATACAACATAGATACCTAAAGCTGTTTTGCAGCAGCACGCTCAGTTGCTTACCCAGCCGCTGTGACCTGCAGAGGTTCCGGTCAACATGCCCGGAATGCCTAATCTGCCGATGAGGCCCATGGTGGCTTGTAGCAGAGGTTGTCAAGCATGTGAGTCTTAAGGTGTGTGCATAGGGCTGTGTGCTCTCAGGATAGGGCTTCACGGCGGAGCAGCTGCAGCCTGAGATCTTTCTGGAATTTTTCGTGACTTCTGGAACTAGTAGTTGCCATCATGTTTCTGATTGGCAGGAGGTGGATATGGAGCCCAAGATCAAGAGCACCAAGGTGAAGACCAAGCTCGACGCAGCACAGAAGTGAGCCCCACTGAGTATTTCCGGTGAAGCCAGGCTTCCTTATTCAGATGACACTGGTTATTCAGATGACACTGGTTATTCAGATGACACTGGTGTTTTGATGCCGTGCATGCTTGGGATGTTCTGCATTTTCGTTATTGCTAGGCAGAGCATGTTTCTGCGACAGCAACAGCCTGAATAGTTACGAGCATGCAGCAAACATATGTGATGTATTGAGTTGACGCGTTTGCTTTGTCATTCCTGAGCTCTCCTTTGTCTACCTGTCGTCTTGTTCCGATGATTCAGTCTTCTTTTCGCCGGAACGTGCAAAAAGAGAAGCCGAGCACACAGTGTAACAATTCGCAAAGGGGACTCGCTTTCTTTTTGATAATGAGGCTTCGTCAGGTCCAGAACGTGTGAAGAGCGACACCTCTTGCGCATGTCGGCATCACGTAACAGCAACAAGAGCAGCGATTCCGCACTAGCGTCACCAGCGATGGAAGCTGGCGGGGCCTGCTACTGTATAACTACTGGTTCCGGCTTGTGCTCTTTATCTCTTCACCTGTAATGCTAGAGAGCACGACATACAGATCCCGACCTGTCAAAACCCCAAGCCCCAAACCCGAGTGGAACGTTGCCTTCTTCGCCTCGCTAGCGGCACTAGCTCTCGAGATTCTATCAAACGACGTGCCTGCGTCTAAGAGCGACGTCAATGTCTGGACCCGGGTCGGGTATAGGGTTTCCGGATGTTTCCGGGTCAGGCTATTCGGATTCAGCGCCGTGTCATTTTGT